GGAGAAAACAGCGGAGACAGAAAACAGGCAGTCTCGCGTCACGTCATTTACTAGCCCTGTTAGCACACGTGGTTGTTAGCGACGTCGTTGAAATTGAAATCGCTTTCTGTTGTTGGTTATTTATTTATATTTATGCTTAAATATTGGATGTTTATGTAATTTTACAGGCATAAAGTCTACAAATCTGGTCCAGGAGGTCCGGGAGGTCCGGGAGGTCCGTGTACGACGGATATATATATTAATCTGCAGGTACTCGAGTACTCGTTCATTAGGTAATTCGAGTAATCGAGTACAGGGATTACTGTAAATTCCCATCCCTAATTTAGACTAAAGTAAATAAAAGCCTGTGCTGTGAATTTAAGTTTTATGGAAATACATTTTATTAAACTCAATTTCACAAAGACATTAAGTAGAGTTTAATGAAAATGGTAAATCTTATTTCCAAGCCTTCTTTGTAAAAATAAACTTTTTTATTGTTGTTGCTTCAACATTAGATTTGAAGTCATTAGAATTGAACGGATTTCTTTGTTTTCAACTTACTCTAAGATCTTTTCAAATACATAGCGTCTCACTTTGTTGCTATATTATTCTAAGTCAGTAATGTTGCCCTGTTCTCACAGCGGAAACATCACAGCAGCTCCTGAATGTTTTTTTTTCTGCTTGACGTCTGCTCTTCACGTCTCTTCATGCTCGTGCGCTCCATCCTCACACCTCACACCTTCTCTGTTAAACGAAGCTCGGCCAATAAGAACACTGTGTGAGTGTGAGAGAGGTAATGGAGCCTACTTTCCAGAAGTAGATGCCTCACATGATGCAGTGAATGGAAACACTTAATGAGTCCTCTCTGTGACCTACTGCTGCTCAAGTAGACAGATTTGTGACATTACAGACACACGTATGGATGCACATACGCACACTCTGATTATCACATAGCTTCTGTTCCATTACGCTGCCGTCTGCTTCTGATTGCAGACCCTCAGAGCACATTTACAGCTGTTGAATTTAACTACCCTCTTTAGCTGCTCGATTTGCTCCTCTCTTCCTGTCTCTCTGCTTCTCTTCCTCCACGCTTTGCCATCATTTTTCCTCCCTGTCTCACCTCCTTCCCCGTCTCCTGCACTTACTCACTTATCTATCTCTCTGCACCACTTCACTCCATCTTTAACTCTGTGGGGCATGAGATGTATAGACTCAAAGTCAGGCAGCTAATCGCTGAGACAAGAGCTTTGACATGCATTCAAGAACAATAAAACAGAAAAAAACCTCCTGAAGCTGAATTTAGACATCACGCTCCTACAGATGGCATCCGTCTTTGTAAGGAATAAATCTCACAACAGTATGTTCCTTAGTTTGTTTTAGCAAAATCATCCATGTCAAAATAAAAATGACACCGGCTGAAGTATTAGCTTGGATGTTTAAATGTTGCAAGACTTAAATAGAAGGAAGATGTTGTGATGTAGTGCTATCACAATTGGTGCATTCATGATTGCAAAAATCTGTCTTTGAGGGCCTTTTTTTTTATACTTCAACTGGTATAAGATACACCATTAAACCAGATTTACTAAAAGCTCTCTGTTGGGAAAATCTGCTGCTACATTTTGGCCTTAAACTTAAAAAGACATGGAACACAAAGACTGGGGGACAGGAGGAGGGACAGGGAGAGCAGGTTAAGAGAGGTATGGTTTGGTTTTTAAAAAAAGGTCAATATGGTGATATACAGTCACAAGGGGCGTGTCCAGAGGGTTGGCCAGGGGTGGCATGCCCCCTCCCTTCAAATCTGATTGGCCACCCTAGACATAAAAAGCCCCAAAAACCTTTAAAAAACCCTGCTACCTTTTCTGGTCAAAACAAATACAGACCATTAAGGACTGGAATCTAAACTTTGAAGGAGGACATACTGGCTGCTGCGTTGTTGTCAGAGAAGCCAGCACTTCAACATAACATGTTTTCTTAATGTCTGATCATATATTAAGGTCGTTTAATGATTTAATTCAGTAGATATCTTATATACTGATGCTTTAAAAGTAGATATGATTATTGGAGGTAGAAAGGGTACATCATTTAAATTCATGTGTGTACACAAACTTCATGCCACCTCCCTGCATAAGTCAGTGCCCCAGTTGGGCCAAATCAAAAACCCTGACAGTCACCACTCAGCCACATGCTGTTCAAAGTCCAGTGAAGTGACGATTAAAGAGTATTAAATTGTTCACCCTTAAAACTAAACATGTACTTAAAAAAGCACAAATTCTTAGATGATCCTGTAAAAAAAATATGAAACAGATCAAACAATATAAAAGCTGTTTTCCTGGTGAAATCTCCAAAGAAATGTTGGTGTAATCCAAAAGATCAGAACAACCAGCACGTTCAAAACATTCATTGTCTTTGTATATTATTCATATCAAAGTGACTAACTTTGTTTTTCTGACTGTTAAATGTTATTATGATCGATTGTTAGAGATATTAAAATGATGGACCGTTAAAGATAATGACCACTTTTTAATAAATTAGTAAAAATGGCCGACCATTAAAAAGTCTAACCCAATGACAATTAAGGGAAAAGAATGTGTCACAGCGTCTCCTGTCTCTTTTCAAATATGATTCTTCCTTGTTTGCCATTTTGGGTTTACTATCTTCCACTACAAAATGTTCCCAGTGTCAGAATCTCTAACAGAAAAGACAGTATGTAATCATCTGAAGGATGATGTGCAGAAACATAGATCAAGAGACCGCCCTTTAACACCACACAGGCTGTGGTTTTATCAGACAACTGTCAACACCATGAAACGTTAAAAATGTGAAAGTCATTTTTCATCCAAGACAGCTGCAACTTTCTGCTAAACAACGAAGAAATGGTTTCTAAAGAAGAGAAATGAAGGCAGAACCAGGCAAAGCTGAGAGAGCAGAGACTGTGAGTGAGCTTCTGAGGAGGAGAGAGAGAGAGAGGAGTTGAGGAGATAAGTCCGAAACACAAGTCAGCAGACAGACTGATAGACACACAGGGACAGATAAAAAGAGAACAAAGAGCCCTGTGATAACACTACGCCGCATGGACATGAACATGAAGATGAACTGTACAGCAAGGTTTAAATCAAACACTGTGCTTTGCTCTTTGATGTTCACTTCTCAAAGTCAGCAGGGACTGGAAGCAAAAGAAAAAAAAAAATCGCTCTTTCAATCATCTCACACATTCCCAAGCAGCGGTAACACAGAGCTTGTAATTTATTTTAGAACACAGTGAAGTGGAGCAGACACCTATTAAGGTTCTGGTTAGGTTTCATTACAGCTGTGTTATGCCTCAACCAGAGAGTGCATTTGTCTCTGTCAGCAGTCTGTGGTGGCTGCATTAAACAACATTACACTTGATAAAAATGCACTCGCCAGTTTCATTTAAGCAGGCAGGTCAATAAAGGGCTATTCCTTCACAAAGAAAAGAAACTGCAGAGGGTGGGGAACTACATCTTTTCAGCATCGTGTTACATGAACAGTGATTGTTCCAAACAGAAGTGTCAAGTAACAAAGTAAAAATACTTTGTTACCTTACTTAAGTAGAAATTTTGGGTGTCTATACTTTACTGGAGTAATTATTTTACTTTTTACTTCTACTCCTTTCATTTTCACGCAATTATCTGTACTTTCTACTCCTTACATTTTAAAAATAGCCTCGTTACTCCTATTTCATTTCGGCTTGTTTTCATTCCGGCTTGTCATCGTTCAAAAAAAACACACAAAAAAAATAAACCTATCCAGATAAATCACGCCATGTGGTTGGATGAGAATTATAAACATATGCCATTCAGACAACCACCCAATTTTTCAAAATTATCATTTTAATATGACATCATAGTCATTATGACCTTTAGAAAAATGTTTTTTTGGGGAGGTGGGGTAGTGCACTATAGGCCCCTGTGGCGCGGCCTAAGCTTTTGTCCTTAATGGCATTTTCTTCCCCCCTTACATTACTTTTACTTTTAAACTTATATAGCTTAAGTAGTTTTGAAACCAGTACTTTTACACTTTTACTTGAGTTGATACTTCAACTTCTACAGAAGTCTTTTTAAACCCTAGTATCTATACTTCTACCTGAGTAATGAATGTGAACACCTCTGGGGAAATACTTATTGATGTTTGATTCATTTCTGTCTTATTTTCTTTTTTTACTGAGAAGTTAATTTTTTTTGCACAGCTTAAGGTCACAGAGAAAATCTGAGATGAGATAATGTCAGATGTGTTCATGGCCTCTTATAGTACACCAGACACACAAACAGACCCCAAAAACCAGAGTCTGTGTTCACACACGGTCTCTTCAACCATCCATCCATTTTCTTCTGCTTATCTGTGGCCTCACAGTTGCAGTAGGCTTAGCAAGTTTGCCCCAGAGGTCCTTCTCCCCAGCAAGAGTTTCTAGCTCCTCCCAGGGGATCCCGAGGCGTTCCCAAGCCAGAAGTGATATATAATCCCTCCAGCCCATTCTGGCTCTACCTCGAGGTCTCCTCCCAGTTGGATGTGCCCTGAAACCCTCCAAAGGTTAGGCAACAAGGAGGCATTCTAATGAGATGCCTGAATCACCTCAACTGGCTCCTTTCGATGCAAAGAAGCAGAGGCTCTACTCCGAGCTCCCTCCGAATGTCGGAGCTCCTCACCCTATCTCTAAGGCCGAGCTCAGACACCCTTTTGGGGGAAACTTCATCTGCTTCATATCTGAGAGTTTGGACGTAGATTGGCTGGTTAATTGAGAGCTTTGCGTTTCAGCTCAGCTCACTCTTCACCACAACAGTCCGGTAAAACGGCTGCAACACTGATACTTAAACAGACATACTTAAACTCCTTCACTCGAGGCAGGGACTCACTCCCCGCCCAGAGGGAACAATCCACCATTTTTCCACCAGAGCACCATGGTCTCTGACTTTGAGGTTGTTGACCTCTTCATCCTCTCACTCTAAATCTCAGCTGCTCAAAGAGTCATGTTTAGAACGTAGAACTTCAAAAATCCTGTTTACCTGATAAGCTCCGGGCCCAGGGTTGGTGTTCATGGGGACTTTGAATCGATTTTCTCTGGAGGAAATCAGAGCCATTTGAGAGAAGGATTTCACCCCTGGGTTGTAATGGCCTGGACCTGATGAACACAAACACACATACTGTAATCCACGACTGGTGTATGCCTACAAATATACAAAATATTATGGACAACTACTCCATACCTACATGTACTTTATACTGTCACCTTCAGTGTGTGCAAGAAAAGAAAGAGCCTTGAGCATATTATCATACAATACTTTTTTCAATGCATTAAAACTATTAATGAAAACACTAGAGAAGAAGAAAATAACATGAAAAAACATGCTTCTTACACACATAGGCTTGTTCACCAGTGGCAATTCTGGTATCTGTTGAGGCCCTAGGCATAAATTCACAGGGGGCCCCTCCAAACAGCATTCATCCTCTTATCCTATTATGTTATCAATAATCTGACAATAACAATTTTTTAGCAAAAGTTATGTTATTTAAGTGTCTCTCCACCATATTTAGGGCTAACGAGCATCATTCAGTCATTTACTATTATATGAGGGAGTGCTGTCAGATGGGTCGCCCTTAGGGAGGTTTTTCTACTGTCATTGCATACTGTGCACGTTTTTAACCTCTGCTGTGGTTTAAAGTTCATTAGCAGTCGGGGGGGGGCCCCAATTGTCCTGGGGGCCCCAAGCAGACTGAGCCACTGACGCCCCATATGCCTGCACACTTCATTAATTCCTCATTTCTTTTAAACACTTTTTTGAAACACTGAGTAGGTGCACAAGTAGGTGTAGCTTCTGGTTTTTACTGTTTTCTTTCTGTCTGATATTAAACAAGAGCCACAGCGTGTTTTTTTTTACTTTGGGGGATTAAGGTGGATCGAATAATTTGCTAAAAGCAGGACTCAAGGTACTCTGGCAGATCATATGAAGGTGTTTGTTTGAAAATAAGCTGCTGCATTAAGAAGAGGATCAAATATTCTGCCCAGGGTAAACATTAGCCTTTAATCATGTTTTTTCTTACGTGAAACGCTACCTGCTTGACTTGTGTTTTTCCTCATTTTCACATCTAGTCACAGCATTATCGGTGCATTGTATAAAGCTTCCATATCGTGCTTCAATGGGCTTCAGTTTAGTGTTATTGCATCTGTCTACTGTGATCAAAGCAGACAGTACTGAACCGCCCTGCTGTCCAGCAACGAGACACGTTATACAACCAAAAAACACACAGCAGGGGGTGGAGCTTCTTTGTCACTGTGGGACGCTTTGGTTGAAGCTACCTTGTTATGAATGTACTCTGAGACATACACAAAAAGCAGATGTGCGGTGCTGCATTTACAGACACTTCAAACACAAGCACTGACTGATAAAAGGGAATAAAACACACATGCAAATAATGCTGCAAGCGACTCAGAAAGTTCAGTTTTCATTCAAAGCAGAAACATTTGCAATGAATTCTGAAAAATGAAAACTGTTCTCAAATGAAGAAGCTAAGCCTCGGGGGGGGGGGTGTTACCCACTGCATATCAGCGGTCTCCATAAACCTTATTTATTATTTAAAACATCAACTGCCAACTTTTCAGAAATTATAGAAACAACTCCTACACTGATTTTGAAATACTTTAATGGACCCCAGGGCTACAGGCTGCACCAGTGCATTAAAAATGAAGGCAAGTAAAACGAGAACTAGAATCCATCACTGGTCCACCACAACTTTGTTGTAAGACAGCAGCCAGCACCTATCCAACCAAACAGCTAACTGGGAATGTGCATTATTACATGACTAAACAATACAACAATACAAGTGGGGTGGCTGTGGCTCAGTCAGTGGAGTCGGTTGTCTCTCAACTGGAAGGTGGGGGTTCGATCCCCAGCCCCTATGGCAAAATGTGTCTTTGGGTAAGACACTTGACTTCCCGCTGCTTCATCGGTGGTGTATGAATGTTTATGAATAGATTTAGTTACTTCTGATGGACTCTTCACATAGCAGCCTCTGCCATCAGTGTTTGAATGGGTAGATGTGACATGCGGTGTAAAAGCGGTTACAGAAAAGCTCAAGTCCATTTACCATTTAAACATCTTCTGCCTCACTAGTCAGCACCAGAATTACTAGTAGATTAAATTATTCATTCATATTTTTATTAAAATGTTGTGTCTAAGCTGTCATGCAGCCTCCTGCCACTAGTCAGAGCTGTAGCTCATTTTTGTGGGCATGCTCTCCCCCGTTAACCGGCACTGGCATCTGGCAGAAGCAGCGTGGTGTGGAAGGATTTCTATCTAGAAAATGGGGATAAAGTTGTATGTTGGCTGTGTCGGGTTAAACTGGCATAAAACCACTCGACCAGAGCAATGCTTAATGTGTGGATGTTGTGTGTGTAGGCACTTTGCACAGTCTTTTTTTAAGTTGATTGACAGCCTGATAATCTTAATTTAGGCTTAATAGTTATTATTTCCTAGGGTTCTTTATTGGTAGCTTTATTATTTTATCAATGAACTGAGGTATGAATGAACCGAAAGGTCGTTTTTAAGGCGCAGGCTCTACAGCTATTTGCTGTCATGTTATGTGGAAGAATGTGCCATGTTCATTACACACGATGCATGAGGCTGAAATGTATTCATGTCATTAGTTTACTTCTCTTTAGTGATCTGAAGCTATGCTTTGAGGGAGAAAATTAGCCATTTTATATTGCGTGACGTAAAGTTCTGCATGTTTCAGGAGCATTAAAAATAAATGAAAAGAGTTTGATTTTCTTACTGAAGAGTGTGATGAACTGTTTCAAAAAGCAGATAAATAGGCTTTAGGCAACATGGTTTTTGACAGTGTTTAGCGATGTTTTCAAAATGTTTGACTGTTGTCTGGGTGTTCATTTATATTTTAGACTAATTGACATGTTTGACCTCACGACTGCACACACACACACAGGGAGAGACTTTTTTAAAGGGATAGTTTGGCATTTTTTAAGTGGGTTTGTATGATGAACTTGTCAATCGTAGGTCTTGATCCCTGCTGCCGGCTGAAGAACACGTATGTGGTGTGCCTAAGGAGTGATACAGCAAAAAGAAAAATGAAAGCGCTGTGATTTTTTCTCAACATAGCGTACATTTACTTGATGTTGTTTTAGCTCGTTATTTCTGATAGAATTTACGTGCATCAATTTTACCCATCTGCTGCAATGTACCTGGCTTCTGTACCTGCACTTCTGCAGATTTCTCAATAGAGGGGTGGAGCAGACCAACATTTCCAGTGGCTAATATGCTTACTATTAACAAGTACATAACAAAAACCCCACTTCAAAAATACCCATCCATCCCTTTAAGTTACACAGACACAAAAAATGAAAATAATGAAAAATAAAACCCTTTGAGCCATCTGCTAATGTCACAGACGATAAAAAAAAGGACTTTGAGTGAGTTTCTGAAGTGTTGAAGTTAAGTTATTGTAGAATTTTAAATAATGTGATCACAGGGGTTCCAGCATGATGAGGAATATAAGGCTCCCTAATGTTCTATATAGGCCTATTCATTAATGCAAATTCAATAATGGGCAAAATGATTGTATGTGTGCATACGTATATCAATGTGTGCGTCCCCAGTGTGAGTATGTGTGCCTTTGTTTCCACATGCTTGCGTGTGCACATCTGCTTGTGTGTGTGTGTGTGTGTGTGTGTGTGTGTGTGTGTGTGTGTGTGTGTGGGCTTATTGTGTGTATGAAGAAGAAACACTTTTGCAAACAGTCCAAATCTATTTATATGCAAATTGGATTTTGGTTAAACGGTTTGGGGTGCCTCGTGGGTTGAGTCCCTTGGTGAAATGGGGCTACTCATAAATTATCCAAGTAAGTCATGAATCTATCAATTTTGAAACAACATTTTTCAGCGGGAGTGTAATTGAGGTAAATATTAGGTTAGAGGCTCGCAGAGATGGAGCTAATTGAACTGCATGATGGTGAAAAGGTGGAGCAGTTAGTTTTCAAAACGATCTGAATGACAGACAGGCAGGCAGACAGACACAGAGACAGACAGACAGACAGACAGACAGACAGACAGACAGACAGACACAGCAGACAGACAGACAGACAGACAGACACACAGACACACAGACAGACAGACAGACAGACAGACAGACACACAGACAGACAGACAGACAGACAGACAGACACAGACAGACAGACAGACAGACAGACAGACAGACAGACAGACACAGACAAACAGACAACAGACAGACAGACAGACAGACACAGACAGACAGACAGACAGACAGACAGACAGACAGACACAGACAGACAGACAGACAGACAGACAGACAGACAGACAGACAGACACAGACAGACAGACAGACAGACACAGACAGACAGACAGACACACAGACAGACAGACAGACAGACAGACACACAGACAGACACACAGACACACAGACAGACAGACAGACAGACAGACAGACAGACACACAGACAGACAGACAGACAGACAGACAGACACACACACACACACAGACAGACAGACACACAGACACACAGACAGACAGACAGACACACAGACACACAGACAGACAGACAGACACACAGACACACAGACAGACACACAGACACACAGACACACAGACACACACACAGACAGACAGACAGACACACAGACAGACAGACAGACAGACACACAGACAGACACACACACACACACACACAGACAGACAGACACACAGACACACACACACAGACAGACAGACAGACACACACACACACACAGACAGACAGACACACAGACACACACACACACACACAGACAGACACACACACACAGACAGACAAACACACAGACACACACACACAGACACACACACAGACAGACACACAGACACACACACACAGAGACACACACACAGACACACACACAGACAGACACACACACACAGACAGACACAGGCAATCGATACTTCAATTCTATTCAGGAGATGATGAATTGTAGGTGTTAAGGTTAGGTGTGTGTGTGTGTATGTGTGTGTATGTGTGTGTGTTACCTGGTACATCTGGATCACATGTCAGGAAGAGATTATCCCGCGGTGCAGCGGAGAGGAAACAGTTCTGACGTCTTTTAGCTCCTTCGCTGCGCGGCTGCAGGTGGGAGCGGCTGTTAGCGCTCTCAAACGTCGGCCTCACGTTGTAAGAGTTTGGAGGAGGAGAGTCCTACGAGAAGAGGAAAGCAGAGGAGAACATTTCAGTTTACACACAGCGACAAGGAGGCAGGACATGACGTGAAAAGGACGCTGCAGGAGTCACCATGTGATGTTTACAACATAACCACAATGGTGAACAGCAAAAGAATCTGACACTTAACATGTTTTTTTGCCTTCATATTAGGACAGTCAAATGTTACATTTCTTAAATTGTTATTAATTTGAATAGCGATGAATCTCCTTTTTAATCATGTTTGAATTTCCATTACTTTGCTTTTTTAAAGTTTTTGTTATGCTTTTATTTTGTATGTTGTACTGTCTTGAGCTATGGGAACTTTACTTCCAGTTTGGAAAGAAATTGCTTTTATTTTGAAATAAAATATGGAACTTGCTGAAGACCAAAGGATACAACATTAACTTAACCATGAAAACAAAAGAACTTACGGTTCAGAAAATTGAATGAAAACAGCTAAAGACTACGGTACAGAAGTGAAGTATTTGATATCACGAGGATATTATTTTTGTCTGGGAGTTTTAAAAGTGAAACGAGACATTCAAAGGCACAGAGGTGTTGTCCTTTTCCATCACTGTGACTACAGGGAGACGCTGCTGTCATTGTGTTGGCTTGGCTTCAGTGCGCTTAAATGGACAAAACAGCATTTACACAGCATGCCCTACTTCATATCAATGCTACATACACTGGAGGTTTTTCACAGTTTCAACAAAATAGTGGAAGGATGCATACTGGAGAGCAGAAAAGAGATTGAAGCAGCTTAATTACAAGCGCAAATATTCCACCGGTCATGCATCGGTTACAGGATATAAATTCCATCATCCCTGCCCACTTGCTGCTGTGTTCACATCAACTCACCCCGACTTCTTAAATCCTACAAGGGGTCTGACAGGAAATAGTCTAGTTAAAGTCAGGGTTACACATTGGTCGGTTTGTGTTCATACACGCTGCCCACCCCGACCATAGTGGAACATTTTCAGGAGTTTTGTTTAAAAAAAAACTAGGGCTAAAGTCATCAGCTTATCATGAGTAACCCTGGGCCTCCCTCCCCTTCTCTATACATGAGAAATAACTAAAAGATGATGACAGAAAAAGCAAAGACGAGCCCCGGTGTCACCTGAAACTGTCACCATCGCACTCGGAAATGTCTAACAGTGTAACACAATCTCGCTCCAAACATGTCACCTTGTTGGTCATCCTATTAGATTACACAACTCGCTGTCCGAAGTATAACGAACAACACATTCATTATAAATAACAAATGACCCCTTCAACCCATCTGGTAGCAATGCACATTGTCAGAATATACGAATATTCATGCATAAATATCAGTGCACAGACACAAGGACATGCAGTACATGTCACATCATTTACATGCAAATGCAGAGACACACACACACACACACACACACACACACACACACACACACACACACACACACACACACACACTCACAAACACCCACGCACACACAAATTGCACAAAAATGAGCGGTTTTCTCACACATCATTATCCTGGTTCTTCACGGCACATGTAAGAATAACAGACAACATTGACAACATGTTAAAGGTATTTTTTGATGAATAGCCTGCACAGCAAGCTCACTGCATTTATAGACATTAATGAAGCATTCACAAGTAAGAGCTAGATCACATAGACACAACCGCTGAAGTGAACATGTAACAGATTCCTGAAGAACAGTTTAGGATCTGAAAAGTAAAACTGGGTGAATCACAGCAGCAGCAGGTTTTCTAAAGTTGCACTTGCCTCGCTGCAGAGGAGTCTGAGTTACAGGGGATTTGTCTTGTCCATGGGTCTTTGAATAATTGATGGCCGAGGCCGAATATAGCCGCACGATCCATTTATCCTAAACATAGCAGAGCTGTCATTTTACCTCAAACTGTCATTTCCCCACCGCTGTTTTCTCCTTTCGCCTCCGAGGTAACCGTCCATCTTTAATCATTGCTAACCCAGGCCCATTTAGCTTTTCATCATCGACACAGTCGGAGGAAACGGAGGCGAGCACAACATGTGCACGACAACACAAGCTCAAACACACGCAGAGACAGTCGACAGGCACACACACACACCCACAGACACAAACAAGATTCTGTGGGATGTTGAAAGCAACTGTGGAATAACCGGAAAAAGAAGATGAATTGAGAAAATGTGGTCACCTGTCACTGTGTCCCGTAGTTTGGTAACGTCTCCTGGTGGATTTGACACACACCCACCTGTTGTCACACACCTGTCACACATCTATCTAACAGTGCATGAGCAATCACCCCCCCGACCTGCGCTACATAATTTGTTCACGCACTTGTCGAGGATCCCCCACGGTCCGTAATTAAACCAGAAACCGCGGACGACCACTGTTCCCAGTAAGAGTCATCACCTATTGGCAGCAGTCGGGTTGTCTTTAATTACACACCCTTGACATTTAGACAGCTCAATACTTATCTTTTCCATGTGCACACAACGACACACAAAAACTCTTCTTTTCTTAACGATTCTGTCACACTGCCCTTGACTGTCTGAAAAGAAAAGAAAGAAATCTCAGAGTGCATACAGCTTCAACTTTAGATACCAGAGACGTAATTGTGACAGGCAGGCGGTGACAGAATCACTGAAATTGAATATTGATGTGCAGCTGGCCTCGAAATGGACTGCCACCAAGACTGACAGTAATTTCTAATAGAAGCAAAGCAGGAAAAAAGACATGAAAGAAATTATACCTCACATGAAAAACATTTTATCTAAACTTGAATAGAAATAGTTCATCAAGTGTTGAAATACCGATCAGGTGAAGAGTAGGAGTAGTTCATTAGATTGTAAAGTCACTGTAAGCACTGAATAAACCAACAGGTAAATGTTAAATAAAGGAAAAGTGTACTGTACTGTGTACCCTGAATTTGGATTCTGCAATGTGCATTGTTGAATTAAATATGATCGTAAGAAACATGCATGTGTTGAGTTCAGCCCCCCAAAAAAACAACAACCCTACAATCAAACAAATACATGATACATTATGAATGTTACACTCTGAGATCATGATCTGGTGGGGGTTAACCTTCACTGCTGGAGACTGGGGGAAAAACTCTGCAGCAAAGTTTTTCTGAAATGCATCTAAATCTCTAAATGCAAGAAAAAAAAACAATTTTTTCGGAGAACATGTTTCAAACCGGCTACCCTCCAAATAATCTTCCTCAGCTCCTCGAGCTTTTCTTTAAAAAAGGTATATTTTTTCATGTGTCCACATCCAAATATTTTGGAAAGCTGTTCATTTTGTGGTCCAGGAGATTACTGTTGTAACTTGCCGAACCACTCAATAATTACACAATCGTCTTGTTGCTACAGAAGTCCTCTGTGCATATACAGGAAGTCTATTATTTGTATGTTGTGCGTATGTAACAAGCAGCAACCTCCAGTGTTGAAAAATTAAGACAATGTGGAAGTGTAAAATCCTGCAGTTTGTTGAGTGTCCGCTTTAAGGCTGGCTCCAAGAAACCAGGAAGTCACATACACACCATATTAAAAAAAGCCAATTTTTACAGCAGAAATGAACATGTTACAGCCTGGTACAAAGGGTTAGTGCGTAGATGAAATGATTGACAGGTGGGCGTGATGTAATGGTTTGCCAACTCCAGCTCTCCGCCTGTCGTTAGGTTGACTGAAGGTTAGACTGAGACAGGATTTCCATCAGGGCGGCTGCTGCTGATGAGCCTCCAGAGCCCCCTGCAGGAACAGATGGGTGACGTCACTCAGGATTCGTCCATTCATATTTACTGTCTCTGATATTTATTCATTCTTTGCTGCATTTGTTGTTCATTTTTTTATGACTTGGTGGCATTATTCTGAACAAACAATTAGTTTACATTAGAAGTACTTCCTGTTATCCCAATGTTTGTTTCAAAAATAAAACTTCCTTAGTATTTTCTGAGCTTTTCTTGGCTTCATTGAAGCAGCCTCTTCATTGCAGGGGAATTCTTTGTAATCATGTATGCATTGATCAGGATTTAAATAATAACGAGTTTGTGAGGTGCACATGTGTTGTTGAAATATTAGAAATATAAAGTGATAAAAAATACCAGTGACCTTGATGTTTAAAGTATTTTGAAAGTCCAACTTTATTATAAGTAGAAGAAGTTCCCTAATAAATGAAGACTAATAAATCACTTGTCTCTCCAGGAAATTGGCAATCAAATTTTTTATTGCAATTTAGAACCGATCCCCACACATTCTGCATGACCTTTCCCCACACATTCTGCACATTTCCTTTCGTTTCAAAAAACGTTTCAAAACACATTTGTTTTAAAGCGTCCGCAAGATCAGGCATTTGAGGCCTCCACAATCGCACACCAAAAAAAACACTGCTTAAAGTCTTTATATTGATTTTCACACTTAAATATAATATAAATCAAGTATATCCTCTGAAAATAACTCTGTGAGTCATGACTGTCTACAATGGGTGTAACACAAGAGTCCCACTGTCTGTGATGTTTTCAGAGTCCTATCTTCACTTTGTTTACATCGCCAGGACGGCCGGCTGACTCCTCCCCTCACGTATAAAAGTTGTTTAATTGAGGGACTAGAGAAAAGAAGAATAACATACTGTACTCACTGCTTAACTGTGTTTCTAGATCACGCTCATTTCAGATAAATTTACATGCAGTGTGAAGATATCAGCATAATAAAGATCGCTAGCATTAGCATGCTAACACAACAATGCAGCGCGAGTTGTTTTGGTTTCATGCTGGTGCTCAAGGGCGACATCTGCTGGATCAAAAATTGCATATAAAGCCTTTAATCCTGGAGGGAATTAAATCCCAAATTATTTTTGTATGCAAAATAAAACACCACTTCTCATCTTGTAGCAAGGAAGTAAAATGAACATTTCTCATACTATCAACAAGACATTATACTGTAGCTTTCTTTACAATGTCCTGTTGTTAATGACCAACCTCACACAGGAGTTAAACATTATGCAAACATAAAT